TGTCAAAAGAACCAATAGATCTGTTTTGGATGAGGTGCAGCCAGAGTGCTCCTTGGAGACCAAGATGGCTAAGCTTTGTCTCTTATACTTTGGACACATTGTCCGGAGAGAACAGTCACTGGAGAAGGATGTCATGCTGGGTAAGGTGGAGGGTCAGAGAAAAAAAGGAAGATCCTCAACGAGATGGATTGGCTAGGTGGCATCATTGATGGACTCAAGTGTGGCAGTGGTAGTGAGGTTGGCCCAGGATCAGACACTGTTTCATTCTGCTGTGCATGGAGTCTATGAGTCAGTTCCAACTTGATGGCACCTGACAGCAACAACTTATCCTAGGGTTATGCAATATCCTAAATTTCACTATCGCCACTCAATGAACAAAATTAACCCCTACCATAAATTTGGTTCAGATGTCAAAATTGATGACGTTAAACAGAGTCCACAAAGACAGTATTCTATATCCTATTTGGATAAATAATTTCTGGGATCTTAAAAGCTCATGAACTGCTGTCTAAGATGCTGCTATTGGTCTCTCCACATGTGGAAGAAAGAAGAGTAATAAGAATTGAAGAGACTTGGAATCAATTTGTCCAATAGACTAATGGAATACGTGAATGACAGTTTCCATGACTCTGAGGCCAGAAGAACCAGATGGTGCCTGGCTACAACTACCAACTGTTTTGAAAAGGACACATTAGAAGGTCCCGGATAGAGTGGCAGAAAATGTGGAACAGAACTCAAAATTATTAACAAAAAAGAGGACCAGGTCTACTGGTAACAGAGAAACTGAAAGAACCTGAGACTATGGCTCTTGACCAGCCTTCAGGTCTGGAAAGGAACTCACCCTTGCAGCCCAATTTTCAGCCAACCAGCAGATAAGTTTATAGGGGGTGGGAGGGACAACACTGGCAAGCTTTTGTCCCATGGAATGGTCAATCATTTGGGATCAAAAGGGCAACATTTTCCTAGGGACAAGGTTGAGAAGGGATGGGAAGGGGGATGGAATGAAGGTGGGAACCATAGGGAAGAAGCAAGATACCTGTTGTTGCACAGAGACTATTGTAATCATTGAGTTGAAGCCAAGTATATGATTCATTGAATGCAAAGCTGATGATCTTGTCAGTAAACCTTCACTCAATTCACAATAAAAAGTTTTTTTAAAAATTGGTGCTGTTGCACGCAAACTTATAGGATATGAAAGAGTGTGTTGTAGTTAAGTGCTGTCAAGTCGGTTCCAACTCATAGCAACCCTGTATAGGATTTCTGAGGAGCAGCTGCTGGGTTTGAACCATCAACCTTGTGGCTCACAGTCCAATGCTAATTCTACAGCACCGCACCAAGAGTCCATGAAAAAGTTTGTTATCCACTTAATGAGGCTTTGTGCGTTGGGAAGTGAGTTGGGAGAACAGGGAAGAAGAGTAGTTGGGATATTGTCTCCCCCAATTTTTGGAAGCCCTATCTAAATTGTTTTCTCCATATGATTCCCTAATCCCTCTTCAACTGAATTCCAGCAAAAGTTTCTCTGCCATTTTATGACCTGTCTCATTTCTACCTTGCTGTTTCTCTAATTGGAGTCCTGGTGTGGCGCTGCAGGTTAATGTACTGGCCTGCAAGATGGATTTGAACTGCAATGTCGGCAGTTCAAGCTCACCAGACACTTCTTAGAAACCCTATATAGGGTCACAATGAGTCTGAAATGACCCAAAAGTACTTGACAACAATAACATTTCTCTATTTTCTCTGTCAGACCAAGAACTCCTTTCCTCTCCCTTTTTACTGTCCTCAGCACCTAGTGCATTGCCTTGTATGTAGAAAGTACTCAGTATATGTTAAAAAGGAAGGACTTCAGATGGTTCAAATCATGTAAAGATGAATAACATCAAGAAACAAGCTGTGAGTTACTGCATACTGCATGTGTAACAAAACCAGTCCACTCTGATTTGGAAAAAAAAATGTGAAAAATATATTTATTTTTAATGTATTATTTTACCACAGTATAGTACAAGGTTGTGGCAACAGAAAATGAAAATGGATTGTTAGTTATAAATATTTAAAGCCTCATTTATTGGTTATTAAAATGACATATTCTCCTGTTCAACGGCAAAGTTTATAAAGAAAAAAGATTTACACTGTACACAAAAGTAAAGAATACCATACAAGAGCTATGGAGTAGAGAAAGGGAGACAAATACTTGACTCAAAGAATGGTTGAGGTCCTGAAGTTTCTGGGAAAAACATATTGCAATCTGACTGGCAGCCCATCTCTTACTTGGTTGTCCAGTTTGGCTTTCTTGTGACTCTATATACCTACTAGTTCTAATGCAATCCCTTCTTGAAGGTTCTAGCTACTCTTCATTATTGGACATCTTGGTGGCCCCATTTCCAAAGTGGCTCATATTGACAGATAAAGAGGCTGGGCTTTTTGTCTATTCAAGGTGGTATTCCTGTAGGAGCTGGCATTCATTTATCTGTCTTCCCACTGGCAGATTACATTCTGAAATCAAACCTTAACTCCTGAAAAAGTTCCAAAATGGGAGATACTTGTGAGACTATATACTCTCCCCTCTCCTGACAGTTCTCCCATTTTTACATGAAGGTTTATGGAGAAAACTGTACAAAGAATCACTCCATCTTTGCAGTGTGCCTTCTGAAGAAGAAGGTAGGCTATCAGTTGATTTCAGAGAATTGAGTTTCCTTGGTCATGGTTGCATATTGTCTTGAATCCAGTCTAGGTATTTAGTAACTTTGGTATATACACCTGGAACGTCTTTCCGCCCGCAGCCAAGGCCCCAACTGATGATGCCAACCAAAATCATGCGTTTGTCCTTCATACACACCAAAGGGCCTCCTGAGTCACCCTGCAAAAGAAAGAACAGGTTCGTTAAAATGCAGAACATTTGGAGGAAGTTAGGGCTACTGTTTACAGTCCTATATTGTATTCTTCAAATTATTCAGAGACGGACATTGTCACCTCAATTACCTTGATCCTTTACAGAATTGTCTGTATCTATACATTTAAAGTGAAGTAGAATTGATATAATTCCTCACATTCCATACCTCAAAGATCTCTAGGTTGTACTTCACCACTTACTAAGCGATGTGTCCTGAAACTACCAGTGCTTTGATTATAAGCACTTGTTATGTGAATGATGTGAATTCAGTTGTTATTGTGAATTCAGTGAATTCATTGGGAGAAAGCGTGAAAAGCACTGACCATAATGGATCACTACTAAAACTCTTGTTAATTGTTATGATATTAAACCCAAATGGTTTGGGGAATTGGTTTTTAACTTGAAGTTTGCAAACAATGGTTTCACTTTGTATACAACCTTTTTATAACTGTTGAATTAGGTGACACAGTAGGGGTTTCTGAAGAAACCATTCAAAAAGAGACCAGAAGCTGTTAAGGAGTCAAAATAAAGGAAAATAAAATGCCAACATAATTATTTAATAAGAACACAGCCTACAGTCTTCAATGTAGGAACCCTGTTCAGAGAGACAACTATACTCTCTTCCAACAACTGGCAAACTGTAGGCACTAACATATCTACTTAATAACAGTTCCTGAGCTATATTTAGGCCCCAATACCAGCAGGTTTAAGGAGCTCTGGGAGCGTAGTGGTTACAAATCGGGCTGCAAACCGCAAGGTCAGCAGTTGAAAACTTCCAGTGGCTCCACGGAAGAAAGATGAGGCTTTCTGCTCCCGTAAAGATTTACAGCCTCAGAAACTCTGTGCAGGGCCACTATGAGTCGGAACCGACTCCATGGCACACAGCCACCACTACCACCAGCAGGTTTATATGTTCCTAGTATCTTGTTATCGTGAAAGATAAGTACTAATTCTGACAAGAATGCCAAGTGAAATAATTTGCTTTTCCAGGGTCTTGTTGTTGTTGTTATTAAGTGTCGTTGAGTCAGTTCTGACTCACAGCAAACCTGTATAGGGTTTTTAAGGAGTGGCTCATGAGTTTGAACTGCCGACCTTGTGGTTCCAACTGACTTTGTGGTCCAGTGCTTTAACCCACAGAGCCACACCAGGACTCCTCCTAGGGTCTTAGGGCTGAAAAATTATTTTTCTCAAATCGTGTATATTCTATTTCTCAGAAAGAGCCTCTTCTGTAAAGCAGATTTCAAACCCTCCAACACATACAGAAGACAATAATTTCTCAATTTGTGTTGCTGTATCCATCACTTCAATAGCCATTTAATTGCCTGGGCACAGCATTCGGTATGTATTACATCTCGATATAAAGAAAACAAAACTCCTCACTACTGGACCAATAAACAACATTCTTATCAATGGAGAAAAGATTGAAGTTGTCAAGGACTTCATTCTTCTTGGATCAACTATCAACACTCATGGAAGCAGCAGTCAAGAAATCAAACAATGTAATGATTAGGCAAATCTGCTGCACAAGACCTTTTTAAAGTGTTGAAGAGCAAAGAGGTCAGCTTGAGGACTAAGGTGCGCTTGACCCAAGCCATGGTATTTTCAATAACCTCATATGCATGCGAAAGCTGGACAGTGAATAAGGAAGACCACAGAAGAATTGATGCTTTTGAGTTATGGTGTTGGAGGAGAATGTTGAAAGTGCCATGGGCTGCCAAAAGAACCAACAGAGATCTATGTTGGAAGAAGTGCAGCCAGAGTGCTCCTTGGAGGCCAGGATGGCTAAACTTTGTCTCTCATACTTCGGACATATTGTCAGGAGGGACCAGTCACTGGAGAAGGACATCATGTTTGGTAAGGTGGAGGGTCAGATAAAAAGAGGAAGACCCCCATAGAGATGGATTGGCAAAGTGGCATCATCAACGGGCTCAAGTGTAGCAACAATTGTGAGGTTGGCCCAGGACCGGGCAGTGTTTTGTTCTGTTGTGCATAGGGTCACTATGAGTCGGTACCAACTCGATGGTACCTAACAACAACAACAACAGGATATCCTATATCAGGTGGAGTTTCCTGTGCAGACGCTGGGGAAATTTCCTGCAGTTTAAATTTCATAAGTTTGGGTGACTTTGATCTGTCTCCAACTGCTTTGTTCACTGAGGCTCTCATCTAGAATCCGCAGGACCTCACCAAGATGAAATCACATAATTCTCATTTAATATGTATATATTTTTCTTCTTGTTTAAAAACCTGTTGACCAAGGAACATTTGTACCCTTGGGTGGGCCTGGGGTGTGGAGAGACTCTCATGCTTACCTTGCAGGCATCATGCAGGTTTACTTGGCTCCCTCCGCTGCGAGTGTCCCCTGCGCACAGCATATTGTCGGTGACAGTTTTGTTGAACAAATGCTGAGACGTGCAGTGGCTGGATGGGTACAGTCTGACATGAGCCTCCTTCAGGCGTTCAGAATAGAAAAGAGACGCTAGAAGACAGGAGAGAAAACGCACTCAGATTTTAGAGAAAGGAAAGAGGAAAACAAATTTTCCAATAATACCTAACATTTATCAAGTGCTTTTGAACATTTATTATGTTTAACTCTATGGTACTGAGAATATCAGATAGTTTGGACCTACAAAAACAACAAGCCCAGGGTTCCTCTGTTGTTATTGTTGTTAAGTGCCATGGAGTTGGTTCCGACCCATAGTGATCCTGTACAGGGTTTCCGAGGCTGTAAATCTTTACGGGAGCAGAAAGCCTCATCTTTCTCCCGCGGAACAGCTGGTAGTTTCGAACTGCTGACCCTGAGCTTTGCAGTCCGTTTCGCAACCACTCCTCTACAGTGGTGTTTTTGCTATTTTGGATTAGAAAATTATTTGTTGAGAAAGGGCTGTTCTGTGCATTGTAGGATATTTAGCCATATCCCTGGTCTCTACCAGATGCCAATATCAGCTCCCTACATACTTCAGATATTGTCACGAGGGACCAGTCCCTGGAGAATAATATAGTGTTTAATAAAGTAGAGGGTCAGAGAAAAAAAGGAAGACCCCCAACGAGATGGATTGGCACAGTGGTGGCAAGAATGGGCTCAAACGTAGCAATGATTGTGAAGTTGGCCCAGGACCAACCAGTGTTCTATTCTGTTGTGCATATAGGATCGCTATGAGTCGGTACTGACTTGATGACGCCTAACAACAACAATAGCTCCCACCCTGGAGTTGTGACAACAAAAAATGTCCTCAGACAGTGCCAAAAATCCCTAAAGGAGCAAAACAGCCTCTGCTTTAGATCCATTGTTTTAACCTGGTATTGTTAAATACCATCACATTGGCTCTGACTCATAGTGCCCCTATGTAGGGTTTCCAAGGAGTGGCTAATAGGTTTGAACCACCGACCTTGCCGTTAGCAGTCCAGTGCTTATCTTGCAGTAGCACACCAAGACTTCATTTTAATATCACCTAATCCTCTTAATTGAATTAAGTTGTTATATATCTAATTTAGAGTCCTGATGTGGCATTGTGTGTTAATGAGCTAGACTTCAAAATCAGTTTGATTAGAAAGGTCAGTGGTTCAAGCTCACCAACCACTCCTCAGAAACACTATACAGATTCGCTATGGGTTAGAACTGACTCAATAGCACTTAACAAAACAATAACAACATTCCTAATTTGGAGTACTTGGAAACTAACTTGATGCACACAACAACATATATATGCAGTAGTCCTGGTATGGTGCTGTAAGATAAGTACTGGACTGCTAAACACAAGGTTGGCAGTTCAAACCCACAAGCCACTCATTGGAAACCATATCCCGGGTCACCATGAGCCAGAACCAACTTGACAGCACTTAACAGCAACAATAATCCCCAATTTGCCAATAAGGAAAGCAGTTTTAAAATAAAATAAAATAAAACACCATGTTCAGGACCACACTGCTAAGTGCAGATCTAGGATTTGAGTTCAGACAGGCACAACGTCAGAGCCCAAGAATCATATACATTTCTCCACTATTAACACCAGTAGTTGTCAAGTCGACTTGACTCATGGTGACCCCATGTGAGCAGAGTACAGGTGTGCTCCAGAGGGTTTGCAAGGCTGTGACCTTTTGGAAAAGCAAATCACTAGGCCTTTCTTCCAAGGTATCTCTGAGTGAGTGCAAACTTTCAGGTTAGTATTAGTTGTTGTTGTTATGTGCCGTTGAGTCGGTTCTGACCCATAGCGACCCTGTCCAGGGTTTCTGAGGCTGTAAATCTTTACAGGAGCAGAAAGCCTCCTCTTTCTCCCACAGAGCAGCTGGTAGTTTTGAACTACTGACCTTGCGATTTGCAGCCCGATTAGAAACCACTACTTAGTAAAGCACTTAAAAGTTTGTGCAACCTAGGAACCCCTTTAACCATTATACTACACTTACACAGAATCTTCTTTAAATATTAAGTATTTCAAAGCATTCATAATATCCAGACCTTCCTCAACCCACACAGTGACCTTGTAAGGCAGATGATGGGCTCACATTCAAGGAGACAGGGAACTTTCCTACATTTAAGCAGTGTCTGAGCTGAGACTGGAACCCAGCTCGGGCGACCACTTTTTCCTGTCTGGTCAGCCTCTTGCTGTCCTACAAACCGACAGGATGGGGTTCAGACTTCCTTCCACTTACACTCTTCGTGCTTCCCGTACCCAGACAGCTCACATTCGGTCCAATCAGGTAGCTGCAGGCCGGCCTCAGGGAGGCAGACAGTGCGCACAGTCTCGCTTTCCTGAGCACATTGGGATGAATCAGATTTCAGCTGCAGCAGTGCTGGGAGGGAGAGTGAGAGAGAATTGATAAGTCTAGTGTGAAAAGGGGAGAGAAGCAGGGTGAGGGTCTGGAAGGAGGTGGTGTTTCTGTAGGTGTATGAGTGCACATGGGTGGGTGTGAGTTGTGATGAGGAAGTCGGGACTGGAGCAGAGAGAAGCCTGATCTCTTACCAATGTCATTGTTGTAAGTGTCATCATCAAAGTTCTTATGGACGATGTATTTTTCTACTTCAAATTTCTGTTCCTCCTCTCCAGAGACCAACCGGTATGTTCTGCCCAAGATCACTTTAAGGTTCTGGTAAGGAAACCTAGTGGAGACAGATCCATAAAATGTCAGATTTCCTTTAATAAACACACCTAGTTTCAAGACTTTGTTGTTGTTAAGTGCCATTGAGTCAGTTCTGACTCAGCGACCCTGTGATGAGTGGCTGGTGGTTCTTATCCTACAATGCCACACCAGGATCCCAGTTTCCAGGCCTTGGTGGTGGAGGTGGTGGTGGTGTGCTATGGAGTCAGTTCCAACTCAAAGCAACCCTGTATAGGGTTTCTGAGGCTGCAAATCTTTATGGGAGCAGAAAGCTTCTTCTTTCTCCCAAGAAGCAGCTGAAAGTTTTGAACTGCTAACCTTTAGGTTAACAGCCCAACTCCTCACCACTATACTACCATAGCACCTTAGAGGGTAGAAAAATCTACTGGGTTTCCAAGGTCCTACCTTTCCTGGAAGCAGTGGGCAGCAGACAGCACCCAGCAAGAACTGATGAGTACTCCCCCACACAGAAATCTCTCTCCAGGTGATCTCCTGTTCTTGACAAAGATGGCGGCCTGCCAGGGATGAGAGGCGATGTCCGTGTAGAGTCCTCCTTTAATGCGAAACTGAGGTTGCTTGTACTGTCTTAGGCCACAGGTGGCTGGAAGAGCCAAGGACAGAGAAGGGACATCAGACTTTTGGTCCCTGAGATGAGGCCCTCGAGCACCCATCTTCATTTCTTCTCTGGAACCCCCGAGTTTCTACAGGGCTCACTGCGTTCTTCAGAGTGATGTGACAGTTTACAAGGTAAAAAACTCACCACTCTAACTTGTTGAGTACATCCTAAGTTGAGTACATGCTAAGTACTGTATGAGGGGCTTCAAAATTTCCTGGGAAAATGAAAAGATAATGGAATTTTTTTGAAGCCTCCTTGTTCCGCTCACAACACTGAGCTTCGGAGAAACTGACATATTTATGACCAAGGTCACAATGGAATCTGCATTTGAAGTCTCTCTCTGACTCTAAAGCTGGAGATCTTTCTACTATGTTTCACTGCCTGTAGTTTTTCCTGCCATCACTTCCTAGCTTAAGAAATCATGAGACAGGCTAAGCAAAACCCCTTCAGCTTCCTTTTGGAGAATGTCTACACCATTGCTTTTCCATCTACTTAACCTTCACCTATCCTTCAAGGCCTACATAAAGTCCTACTTCCTCAAAGCTTTCTTTTAATACCTCCGTCCAGGAAGATCTGAGCAAGCTTACTGATGCCTCTTACTGAGGACACACCATAAATGACCTTGGTTGTGAATTCACTGGCAGCTCATGTCTTATCTTCCCAGTCCTTGAGGAACATACTGGCGGATCTGTGTGTTCACAGGAACTGAACTTAATCCTTTCTCAGACACATCAATCTATTCTCAATTTCCAAACTAACGATTTACATTTAGCAACATTTGAATTTTCTTTGTCACCTATCCTCTATCACTAACCCAGTCCCCTTGTGTTAACTGAGTTTGGTGAGAAAAACTAAAGAATTCACAGTAGAAACAGTCAGGGAATAAAGGATCAGATTCCAGCTCTGCCACCTGAGAACCCAGTGAACTTGGGCAGGCTGCATGACTTCTGAGAGATGATTTACTAATCTGTAAAATGGAGATAGGAAGATGATTTCTCTTCAGATTGCTGTGAGAATGCTATGAAAGTGCTTTATCTTCTAAGAAGTCATATGTGAGAGACATTATCTTCTTCCTCACATTTACCACTACCACCACCATCATCAGAGTCTTGGTGTGGCATTGCAGGATAATGCACTGGACCTTAAGGTCACTTTGAATCACAAGGTCGGTGGTTCAAATTCAAGAGCAGCTCCTTGGAAACCCTATATAGAGTCGCTATGAGTCTGACCAACTCGACAGCACTTAATAACAACAACAACCACCATCATCATTACTAACCTAGAGAGAAAAGTTGGAAGCCTACTGAATTCTTAGTGAAGGCTACTTCAACAAAAATTAGAATAGATTGTCTATTCTTTCTTTTTGCCTCCTCACTGGACTGCTAACCTCAAGGTCAGCAGTTCAAACCCACCAGTTGCTCTTCAGAAACCCTATACAGGGTCACTACAAGTCAGGACCAACTTGACTGCACTTAACAACAATATATAACAGCCTCATCCCTACATTCTGAAATTGGTGTACACTTGTCCAAGAGTGTTGCTGCCCCACCATTGCTTGAGTGATGGAAGTCCCCCTTCCCACCAAGACAGCTTTACGGTCTGAATCAGACAGCTGTGAAGACACAGAAAGTGGCAGAGGAAATGGTGAAGAAGTGAAACTGGACAAAGGAAAGTAGCCAAAGGTTAGCCCTTACAGCACTGAGGCACATCACAGTATTCCCATGTCAGTTGGCGGTCCTTCAGCACATGACACCAGGGCTTGGCATCCCCATCTGGATTCCTGGATAATAAGGAGTTTCAGAAGTTTACATTTTTTTCCAGATAACATATCACAGTCCACGTGAGAAAGAGAGGAGGCTCAGTATATCAATGTCAAAAACACTGCCTTGGGGGAGAGCACCCTGAGCTCTGGACGTGGCTCTATTTTAGATTCCCACCATACCCCAAATAACTTATTTTTAACTTTAATTTTCTTTCAGTAATACAGCTGTCTAATCTCACAGAGCTGTTGAGAGAACTATGACCTATTCTGTAAAGAAATTCTTTATTAATCCACTGAAGTGAAGGTACTACATCAGAATGGAGCAGTTGAGTATTAAATGGCTATGGGACCAAACCCCTAAAGGAGCGTTCTCATTGAGAAAGGGGTGTGTCTGACTTTTCATAATAGATGCTATTCTACCAAAGGAAGGTTACATTATATTATATTCAGTGTTTCTTCCAACTCAGTGAATCTTTCATAAGATTAAGCACCAAATCTCCCAATCCGCATCCCCATCCTACCCGCCTCGCATGCCCATGAATCCCTTGGACTCCGCACTACACACCGGCAGTAGTTGTGTTTGCCAAGACCCAGTGCCTGCGCGTTGGCAGTCCACACTGTGTAAATCTTGCGCATCAGGATGACAGAATCCCACTTGAGGCAGGTGGCACCAGATGTGGTGAGACTGTGGGTACCACGGTAATCTAACCCTTTTCCAATGTAGCAATCACCAGTTTTTCCTAGAACAAAAGATATCTCAAACTGAAACAAAACCTATTGGTCATATCATTCAGTAGAGCCTGACTTGGAGGTATGAACAGGGAAGTTGTAAACCAGGACAGCACTGAAAAGGGTGTGATACCATCTCGCTCCTCTTTTCTCTCTTTCTTCAAGTCCTTTTACTTAGGGATGTCAAATGAATTTTATCTCACATCCCAACTTCCATCACTTGGATGTGGCTTTCTAGGTGTTATGTTGAGAGAGACTCTGAGGTATACTCAGGTTCAGCATGAAAGGGTGATATGTTCAATTCGTAGTGAGGGCCATGGACTTGGAAAGTGAGAAGAGTGGTTGAGCCTTAGAATGTTACCTGTTTTTATCTATTTGCCTCACTTTGCACTCTTCCCATTTGAAACTGACAAAATATACCACTCTGCATAAGTAATCTAAACCAGTGAGTCCCGACTTGGACCAGACCTTGTGAGGTAAAGAGGATACTTTAGAACTATTATAAAGAGTCCTCAAATTCACAGATACACCAGCATTACCTGTAAACTTAACACATACATATAAATATATGTATGTTGTTGTTGTGCTGTTGAATCAGTTCCAACTCTTAGTGGCCCTGCAAAGGGTTTCTAAGGACCACTGGTGGATTTGAACTTCTGACCTTGTGGTTAGCAATCCAGTGCTTATCCTACAATGCCACACCAAGACTTCATATATATATGCATTAATTCTACAGCTAATAAAGATATATATCTATATTCACTCACACACACACACACACACACACACACACACACATATAGTGTTGTTAAGTAAAAGCACCACTGAATTCATAGTACCTTGTTGTGACTTAGCATTTTTGTCAATCTGGAAAAAAACTTTCACATTAAAATGTTTTGAGAGAGAGAGAGAAGATAGTCCACCTCCCAACCCCACATTTCTGTTGTTGTTAACTGCCATTGAGTAGAGAGAGACTTCATTCTCAAAAGGATGAGAGACCACTGATCAATCCCATCCTCTCCTCTGTAGAAAATGAAACTGAGGGTTGTCAGGGGGAGTCAAGATCTAACACCGAGTTAGTGGCCAAGCCTGGGCGAAGACCTAAGTCCCTTCACTTCCTTGCCTCAGTAACCAACACGATGGACCCTGAAGCTTTTACCCAGATGCTACAGGAGGATCTGGGGTGGCGCCCTTACCCTTGGGGCAGGCTGGTGTGCTGCAGAACTCCGCACTGTACTTCCCCGCCTTAAAGATATAGCACCAGGGCTTCGAGTCTTGATCTGGGTTCCTAAAAAATCAGAGAGGTTAGACGTGAGCTTCCCTGTGACCCAGGCACCAAGGGCTTTCTCCCCACCTGTAGCAGCTTCTTGCCTGTGAAAACCCTTCTCACCTGCAGTAGTTGTGGTTGCCGAGGCCCAGCTTGAGGGCGTTCTGCCTCCGCCCATTGTAGGCCTTCAGGGCCAGAGCACTGCTGTTCCAGTTGATGCACTCTGCCCCGCTTTCTGCTGTGCTCCACGTGCCTCTGTAGGTGACTCCCTGGTCCTCATAACACTTGGCCTTGGCATCTGGTTTAAAGCAAGACACATGACACCCGGTGAGTGAACCCCCCTCCCATTTAGCTTTTGAACGTTCTCACATCTTTCTATCATGGCAGCAAACTGAGGAGGCAGAGTAGCTGCTGATGCACCTGCAGCCCATGGGGTAAATCAGGTGGCTGGATTCAAGCTCCACACCCCTAAGGCTCTGCCTGTTGGGCCTAGGACTTTGGCTTCCTAACCCACCATTGGATGGTCCTTTCCTGTTCTCACTCCCACCATTGCCTTGCCACCATGCACTTCTTTTCCTTTCTGGATAAATTTGGGAGTTGGGATTTCAGTCCCTCTCTTACATCCATCTATCCACTCACCTATTTCACAGCGTTTCCCCATATATCCTTCAGGGCACTGGCAGACAAAATCTGGGAAATACAGAGCTTGCCGACATATCCCCCCATTGAAGCACCTTGGTTCGCTGCAACCTGTCAAATATGAAAAAGAAAATTCCTCAGTACTTCCAGGGGACAGTGGTAGTTATGATAGAATCCTTGTCTTCTGTGCAGGAAACCTGGGTTCAATTCCCAGATAAGGCACAGCCACTACCCATCTGTCAGTAAAACAGAAGAAGACCCTCAGTGAGATGGATTGATACAGTAGCTGCAATAATGGGTTCAGATGGGAATGGTTACAAGGATGCAGAACCAGGCAGTGTTTCGTTCTGTTGAACGTAGCATTGCTTTAAGTCGGAACTAACTCAACAGCAATGGGATGATGCTGAACAGAGCAATGTTTTATTCCATGGGAGGCACCTGGAGGGTGCTGACTGGAGGGTGGTTAGTGACAAGTACAATTCAAACCAGCTTCAAGAATTATTCAAGTTTTATCAGTGTTTTCTATAGATCAGGCACTAAGATTTAAAAATCTCACAAACCATATACAGGGTTGCTATGAGTCAGAACTGACTTGAAGGCACTTAACAACAACAACAACATTCTCCTTTGTAAAGTGTTCTGCTTTTAAAAAAATTAACACATTTAAATCATCACAGAAAATCATGTGTTTATTTTTTTATAAGTCAAATAATTATAGTTTTTAAGAGGGCATTCTGTAGGCCATGAACTATTCTAAGTGGCTTTAAAAAATCAATTCATTTAATCCCTGAAGCCATCTATGAAGCATAGATCATTATTTCCCCATTTTACAGATGAAAAAACGGCTCAGCAAGTGAAAGCATTTGCCTAAGTTCACATAGTCTCAGTCTGTTTCTTTCTTTGCCATCTTCACCTTTTCCTAAGGCAGATCATGCCTGGAATTTCCTTTTGAAGATACGGGTAGACATGAAAGACAGGGTTTCAGCCCATAAACTGGACCCCTGGATTTGGAAACCTCAGAGCAAAGTCCAATACGTACTTTTGACAGGCACAGAGTGGCACTGAGACCTGCCACTGTTACACCAACAGTACTCCACCCGGTTGCCTCTGAGCATGGGGCGCAGCCATGACTCGTGTTGCAGGTAGATCATCTGGGTTTTTTCATCTCTGCAGGTCACTGTAACAAAAGATAGGCTGGGCTCTTTAGAGAAAAGCTCACAAAATAACGGCTTACCAATGCCTGCCTCTACTAAGAAGAATCCCTATTTTGCTTTCAGTATAAGCCATCCTTGACACTTTTCTTGCTCTCTGCTGGTAGACAACAAATACCTAGTATTTTGTCACCCAAGACCCCTTTCATTGTTTTTCCTCTGATGGGCTTCTGTCTTGAGACAATTTATCTATCATTTATTAAATAATGCTCTGATTTTCCATTTTTAATTCATCAAATATGTTACTGTATATATGCTATGAGTCTGTTCTGACTCATAGAAACCCTGTATAGAGTTTTTGAGGAGCAGCTGGTAGAAGTGAACCATGGGCCCTGTGGTTAGCAGTTCGGTGCTTGTTCTATAGCACGTCACACCATGAGTCCCACTGTAATCCCACTGACCCTCTGTTGTTGCTGTTAAGTGAGAGTCGGTTTCTACTCGGGTTGATTCCGACTCATAGAAACCCTGTATAGGGTTTTCAAAGAGTAGCTGGTGAATTTGAACTGCCGACCTGTCAGTTCAAATCAATCTTGTGATCTAGCACGTTATCCCACAATACTATACCATGACTCCAGGACTGGGATTACAACCTAGGAGAAGACCATAGAGGACCCAGAACTGTCTCACTGTCCTAAATTGGCTGTTGTGTGGCCTTCAGCAAGCTGCTTCATCTCTCCTGGGCTCTATTTTCTCCCATGTATAACAAAAGCTTTGTGCCAGGTACCTGCCAGCTTTGTAATACCATGAGAGCCTGACTCCTTGTGAGGACATGTGCTCCTGTTCCTCTCAGAACCTGGCTAGTTGGCATCAGCTCACTGAGTGAACAGAGATAAATTATGGATGGATGACACAGACATCTTTGTTAAACCTCTCTGCATAATTCCACCTTTACCAGCTTAAGTAAACAGGTCATAGGTAGAAGATAAATCCTCTTGCTGAGCCTAATGCTCCCTTCATCCATCCTAAGTCCCGACTCTGCCTTCTGCTTCACACAAACCCCTCCTCCGCAGCCTTATCTTACCTCTGTAAGATCTGGTTCCTCTTCTGAATCGGGTATTGCTTTCCTGCACAGAGACCAAAGGTGGAGGGAGGATCAGCAAATGCTGGGTGTCTTAAGAATAAATGTGACCAAACCAGAAGACCATCCAGGAACCCACCAATTCATCAGACATCACCTGCCCTGAGCTCACCCGAAGGGAACCGGCCCCACATTGAATGCTCATTTCTTGCTTCTTTTCTAACTTTTCTTCTCCCTTCTAGATGTTGTTATTAAGTGCTGTGGTGTCAATTTTGACTCATAGCAACCCTTATAGGGTTTTCAATAGCAGTTGGTGGATTTGAACCACCTACCTTGTGGTTAGTAGTCCAGTGCTTATCCTATAGCATCATACCAGGACTCTCCTTCTTTCCAAAATAACTTTCTATGTGATGGAAATGGTCTATAACTGTGTTGTCCAATGCGGCTACTAGTCACAGGTAGATGCTGAGTGCTTGAAATGTAAGTAGTGTGACTGAGAAGATGAATTTTCAACTTTATAGAATTGTAATTAATTTCTAAGTTAAAAAGTCACAGGTACTTAGTAGGCACCATGCCTGGTGTGGCACTGTGGGTTAATGCATCAGACTGCAAAGTCATTTGAACTGCAAGGTCAGTGGTTCAAGCTCACCAGCCGCTCCTTGGAAACCCTATACAGGGTCGCTATGGGTCGAATCGACTTGACGGCACTTAACAACAATAACAACATGCTGGACAGCAGCGTTCTACATGCTACCTCTGCCATGTAGTCACTCCAGCCTCTTCTCGCTCTGCAGCCCGGCACCTCAGGATGCTCATGTGGCATCTGATGCCCTTCACTGCATTTTCAAAGAATGTGGTTGCCTTTCCAGCTTGATAATAAGCAGCAAGAGGGCAGTTTAATTCATCTTATGACTTACAGTGCTTACATTATCCTTTATTAATACTTCATGGATTAATTCAAGCACATTCTTTAAAATCAAGCTCCAAACAAGGCATTCAGAGGCAGCGAACTGAGACTGTTTACTCAAGTTAGTACCTATTGTTTCACCTCTGGGATTCTGAATCCTATATGCAGGGTGGCTATGTGCAAGGAGGCTTTAAAAAAAAGTTGGTGGAAAAATTACATTATCTCTTAATTCCATTTTTCTATGAACTTTTTGAAGCCCCTGCATTTGTATGCATTCTACAGGTACACTGAGCCTCTCTTCCTTTGCCTTTCAATTCTTTGACACCACTTGCACCTCTTGGACGTGGGTGCAAACTTCTAATTATACAAGGAGTTTCTAGAATTATTGTAGCTACAAGGGACAGGGCACAGAGAGATGACCTGGGCATCTTACCTGGTTGGACAAAGTGAAGACTATGCCACAAAGCAGAGATAGACATATGAGTTCTCTCTTCATTTTATTCATCATTACTTCAGACTGCCCTTTAAATTCTGAAAGAAGAAGGAGCAAGTGAGGGGGAAGTGAAATGTGATGTGAGAACTCAGAGTATATGACATGTGACCAAGTTTAAGAACCTTAGAGTTTACCATGACTGGATCCCTTCAGCATCAGCTCCCACAATGGCAAATACTGGGACAAGTGTCTGGAGGATGCTTTTGCCCAGAGATTTCTGTGCACTGAAGGGCACTTTTGGCTGCCCAGCTGCCACAGTTCCCTGGCTGGATTTCCCTAGAAGTGGATTCCTGCCCTGGACTGACTATTTAAGCCACAGTAATGTCCTCTCTCTGACTTTTTCAGAGGAAGCTACGGGGATTTTATGGCCAGCACATCACAGTGCCAGTTTACCTCAGATTGCCTCCATTGTTCCACTTATAATAGAGCCCATTCCATGTTTGGAGCCCTCCCCTTGGTCCGACCAAGAAAGGCAAGGCTGTCTCCAAGCCATCCCTCCCCCATCCCATCCCTCCATCGGAATGTCTACCTCTTTTTTTATAGACTGTAACAGACCTGACAAAGTACATATTTGCAAAAAGGAGAGGAGGCATCTGGTTTGGGGTCATTAGACTCAGATCTTCCTGGATCCTGAAGTTCGCAGTTTCCATTTGCCTTTCCCCAGTGATCTTGCTCTCAGCAACTTAAAGTAGGTTAGTTGGTTGGGGTGTTATTTTGTGGTTTGGCAGGCCCTCTTACTCCTTCATCCATGAGAATTAAATTAGGACATTTCTTCCCTTGACTCATTTCCCTTCAGTCACAACAACTTTTTGATCCCACCCCTCCCCCCTTATCCCAAGGACCCACAGGGGCTTCATCCCTCTATCAGTTCAGAAGCTTCTAGAACTTTCATCTTTGACTTGTTCTGGCCCCTTCTTTGTTTCTTTGCTAACTCTGTTGGAAATCCTGTCCTACTCACATTCTCACAAGGTCTCTTCAGAGCAAGGATATAAGAGGGAGGGAGGGGGCTCTTTATGCCAGACTGAGTTTTCTTGGGTAGCTGATGACAGGCAATAGAGGGAAAAACAGAGCTGGGGATGGAGGGTGAAAGGCAGTGCAGGAGGATCTGAGCAAGAGTGTGCCCAATAACACAATATAGAGCATGGCCTTGTCTCCTCTCTTCATGGCAAAGGACCTTTGTTTTAATGTGGCATACCTTCCAAGGCAGGTTTTTTTTTCTTTTCTCACAGAGGAGGCAGATGTGCTACTTACTACTCATTGGTTTCAGGTAGTTGCTGAAGAAAGAAAGGTTCAGGGAGTTGTCAAAACAAAGAAACTCCATTACTCTAGAATGGATTTCAACTCCTAGTAACTCTAAAGGGTTCTATTGGGTTTCATGGCTGCAAACTTCTATGGACGCAGACTGCCTCATCTTTTTCAGTGGATAGCTGATGGGTTTGAATCGCTGACCTTTTGGTGAGCAGCCTAACACTTAGGCCAATGTTTAACCCATGGTGCCACCAGGACACATATCCAAAACAGAATCACACAGTGGAATCACAGGGACTTTCCCCAGACTTCCTTTCTCTGCTTTCCCCTAATTTCTCTTCTCAAAATTTCCCTAAGTTCCTTTCAAGTTTTCTTTCTTAAATTTTAGCCCATTACTTGTAACCTCTAAAAATAAATTTTCTTAATACTTACTTCCTTCAGTTGCCTTGGAAAGTCACATAAAATAATTAAAGAAAAAGAAAAACAGAGAGAGAGAGAGAAATAGAAGGCAAAAAAAAGAGAGGAAGAGGGAATGGCCAATTTTCTAGTTGGCATTCAGTATACGTTATTTTCATAAGAACATAAATATTTACTCAACACCTTAAAAAAAATAGTCTTCTTACTTCCCAATGGTAGTAATTCTTCACATATTTATAGATGGTCCCAAAATTTACTACCTAGATCAAGTCTTTAGGACTGAAATTATAACTTAGCTCTAAAGGGTGAGGACTCTTTGAAGAAATTCTGAATGAAACAAAGGGTGAATGAATGAGTCAATGAACCACCAACCAAACAAAGAACTTAACTCTTCTCTTCCATTCTAAATCAACTGGTCCTTTCAATAAAATTCACATGAATTCTGGGGATTGGGTTAGTGTCTCTTCTGGAAGCACGAAAAACTACTGATTTATTTTAAGAACTCAAAGTCCTCTTAATGGAACACAGTTCTAGATGTTAGAGAATTGCAAAGTGAGAGATGAAGTATTACTACCTTTGTATTCCCTGCCTCTCCGACAGCTTTCTCCCCTAGCAAATCGAGACAGGAGAGAGGTGGACTAGGTGGGGAAAAGGAGTATGGCTTAGGGCTGAGTGCAAAAACTCAAAACATCTGCATCAAGTTAAATTATTTTTCAAAACTGTGAGGGAAAGGAGTCTAGTTTTGTTTTTGGCTCCTAAAAGAGTTAAATAGAGACTTGTCTCTCTTCTACTAATCCTTAATCTTCCTAGGATTCTTGTGGCCCTCCTGGGTCTTCATAGAATCCAGTGCAAACTAGTCTCATACAAGCAAAATGAAAGCTGCATCCATGCTGCACAAACAGAGGCAATTCGAGCAGCTGGACAGGCCGTTTGGTGCAAGAGGATGACAAAGAAATGAGTCATCCTGCCAGTAGGAAAGCAGTGCTGTCCATAGACAAGGGAGAAAGAAGAGAGGCAAGATAAAAAGTGTCCTTGTTTTGCCTTTGTTAAAGAGGTGGGCATAGAAGTCTGAGGGAACCGCCTGGACAAAGAACAAAGTGAATACGAGAAATGTGCGCTCAGACTTGGGGCCTATGGGGCCTAGGTCAGGATACACTTGGCCTCCTTAGACCACAGTCTCCCACCAATGGGAGAAGTGCCAAGTGCTCATGGTGAGATCAGGGTGGGAAATGAAATCTTAGGAGTATATCTTAGAGGGAAAAACTCCTTTGGAAGCTTATTTTATAAATACTAACACTTGCGTTTTCTTTTGTTCTACTCAATAGTTCCCAGAATTACCAAGGAACTGGGGGGAAAAACAAGGAAAAGAAAGAAATTCCACCAGGGTGGCTGACCTTTTTGTTGGACTGGAATCCCTGAATCACGGAAAGTATCACTGTATTGAGAGGGGTTTCCAAGGCCCCAACCGTGGCAGGCCCACCCTAGCACACACAGTTGCTTTTTGCAAATTTGCAAATGGCACTTTCTCTATGCATGGCTCTTTGCATGCACAGGGCTTGGCAAGTTGACAAAGAAGTTGTGCAAAATAGAAAGAAAAAAAAAATTTGTCCTTTTCTCCATGTGGACGCAGCCCTATGCCAAGACATGTGACTTGGCAAATAAACTGAGTTGGATTTCAAGGATGTGTGGACAAAGCATCCTTGTGTAGGACACAACTTGCAATCTGTCCACAGTGGGCTTGTCTGCTTCCAACATGGCACGTGTGTCCTGCAGAGCATCTGTTACAGATGGAATTATGTCCCCCAAAATACATGTGCTGTAAATTCTAACCTCTTCTTGTGATTAGAATCCCATTTGGGAATAAATTATCTTTATTGAATTAATGAGGCAGGATTAGTATAAGGTGTATCTTGAATCAATCGCTTGAGATCTAAAAGAATATACAAGGGAGCAGAGCAGAGATGGGGTAAGATAGATGCCAAGACACGTGAAAGCCACCAAGAAACTGAGGAACAGAGTTGAAAAGAGACAAGGACCTTCTTCCAAGAACTGGCATAGAGGGCAAACCTCCCAATAGTGCACTCTGAGTTAGGACTTCTAGTCTCCTAAACTGAGAGAAAATCTATTTCTGTTTGTTAAAGCCATCCACTTATGGTATTTCTGTTATAGCAGCACTAAATTATTAAGAACTTCCTGCCTGGAAACCATGTTTGGTCCTGTTGGCTATAGCAACCAAGTGATTGCTCATTGGCACCTCCAAACAGCATGTGAATGATGAATGCTCTAGGGGGAAACAGAACAATGATCTGGTAACCAGCAAGGGTGTACCTCATTTTCATTAGTCCTCTACCAATTAAGATGTCCTTTCTAGCAACTGATCTTTCTGGATGACCTACGTTTCCAAAGTAAGCCAGTGAAAGTCCAGTATTGCAGAGACTATAAAGAATAGTGAAAAGAAAATGAGGTTTTAGATAGCCATACTTGGTAGTCAGGTATACTGGACTGAGTCCTGAAGTGGCATTTTATAGGCTGTATTACCAAAGAGTAAATTCGTATTTATAAAGGAAGTCCTTTTGAAGTCCAATTCTCCCATCTATAAAAATGGTGGTTTGTTTAAAATCAAGACTTTGGGGTTAACATTTTATTGCACTCACTAATTGAATTAGCATTTGCTAGCTAAACCTTGTTTTTCTTCAAAGGGATCTATGTTTATTAGGAAAGGGTTACTTTTGTTTTTAGTTTTTAGGAGATGGTAGGATAGATGTCTGTCTTCCTAGATTCACAAGCAACACTCACTCTTAACAGTTACCCAGTTTACTATGGAGAACAGTTCTACTCTGACACATGAGGTTGCCATGAGTCGGAAGCAACCCTGAAATCTAATATTAATCTAAGTGGCTAAGCAATGGTGATAGTTCTTCATGTTCCTTCCACTCCCTAAAGTAAACATCACTACGAGGTAATTCAGTACACAGTACTTTGATAATTCTTTAACCTACCACCAGATTACAACACACCTGAAATCAGGAAATAATGATCAGAAGCTTTCATTATATTACGACTTTAATTTATTCACATTTTACATTTTTATGTGAAACCATTACATTTATAGTGTAGTTTTGAGATACATGCCCTTCCTCAATAAGTATTTGAAGACTTTACCACTTGCCAGGCATTGAGTTTACAAAACCCTTACATAAATTAAATCCTTTAAAGCAATCTTAGGTTCTTATTTTAATAGATGGGAGAATGGACTTCAAATGTGTGAGGAACTTGTCCTACGGTGGTACAGTCTGCAAGAGGTCACCTCAGAGCTCAACCAAGGACACCTAGTTACTAGTTGTTGT